GACTTCACTTGACTCCACTTGACTCCAAATGACTCTATGCGTCTGGAGTCCGCTGTTTCCCCCTTGGTCAAAATACCCATAAATATATTAACTGTATTAGTCAAAGCAGTCTGAGGTTTTTAGTATTTTGACCCTAACATCTTTATCGATCAAATTTCTAAAACTTTTTACCAAAATGATCAGTGTAGGGGTTCTACAAATTTCAATCGACTAAAACAATTCCGAGAACTTTATGTTTTTTGGTTAACTACCAGTGAAAGCTTTCAATTATACCACTACAATTTCAAACTTTTCGTATTTCTATAGCCCATTATCATCTTATGAATGATCAGTTATACTCATAAATCCCGTTTTTTGCGGGCTTTCATATGGTATGAAACTCATTTTCATATCTCTTGAGGTATGAGCTGTACTCCTCTGGAATAATATTGTTTCCAACCGTGTACGTAAAACACTTGACTTCTGATAAGAATCCAGCGTCTGGATTCCATTTTTCAATGACACTTTTATGTCCATTCGTACTAATGTGGACTTTCAGTTCATTATTAGATATTCGCACAGTGTGATCACGATGATACTAAAACGATTGACTACACAAAGATGGTTAAATTTCTTGAAGTAGTTGCTGAGTTGCAAGGAGGCAAAAAGGCTGTGAATACTGATTCAGCAAAGTCTGTTGCCAGAGCAATGATGAACGTTTTGGATAAAGATCAGGACGAGACTCTGACTGAAGAAGATTTCATAAGATGATATGCTTCGATACGAGCCTATTTGCTTTCGAGTTGAAGAACGATTCTTAATTTAGCTGTGAAGAAAATTACAAACTTCTGGTCCCATTTCTGTTCGTGATCAGAGGTGTGTGTTGAATTCATATTCGTCCACGTTCGAGAAGAGATTTTCCGAAAAACGACTAGCGATTGGTGACAAAATAACTTCCATACATGTAGCAGTGATCTAAAAGCTTCAAGATTTCTGTGCGATTGGCGAAAAGAGGAAACAATATCCAAGTTCGGATTTTGAGAAAGCTGTTCGATGCGAATCAAGTCAGATATAGACCGGTCGATTCAATTAGTTAACTACCTCTCAATGACACATTTTTCGACTACACGCCATGAAGGAGAGAATTTATTCGATCATTTAGAAATATCACTTTCTGGATAAAAGAAATGAAAAACAAATCCAATGTAATTGATGTTCCGCTAATACGGCGATGAAAATCGATGATTCGAGTGTGCACTGTCGATTCCACTCAACGTTTGTTTTGGGGCCAAGTTGAAAACAACGAAATAAATTTTTGGCTGTGAGAAATCTATTTCTATCGAAATTAAAGAGTGTTCCATAAGTTTCGACTACATTTTAATTTTTTTTTGTATATCCTGATCGTGTTTGAAGGTACATCGAGATTGAATATATGTGCTTGAAGAGTAAGATATCAGATATCATTCAAGACAAAATGGGCTCAGTTCCTATCTACCCAAAGAAAGTACTGCATTGGAAAATTTTTTATCAAAATTATTTTTTCAACGTGACGTAACAGAACATGACATTTTTTCCTTATCGCCCAGATGCGAAAGATAATGAATAAAAATATCTATTAAGTAAGACTTACATCAGTCTCAGATATTTACTAAAACAAAACTCACTCTCACACCCTCACTATATCAGTAACTGTCGAATCCGATCATGATAACTTCTACTCACCTTCGCCCTCAAAGAGCATATATATACTGTGGACCTTTCAATCAGTTCAATAGGATAAAAACGCCTGTGAACAAGTAAAATGAAATATATATTATCCCTTGAAAATCAAGTAGCTAATTTTGTCTCTCGAATTGAGTAAAAGACAAAGCTCACACGTTCAACAACTTGGTTCCAACTAATTTGCTTAGATCGAGTTAAGAAATGAGACAAAAAAAAGTATTTTAATCGGCTATTTTAGTCAAAATCATTCACACAAGCGATAGGAAAGAAGGAGTTATTATCAATGCACTAATAGCCAAAACGTTTCAATTCGCTCACCCAAATGCGAATTTGGTCGTCCAAATTCAAGAACATTCGATAGACCACCAGCTTTGATTTTTCATAAGTCGCCCAACTACCTCCATTGCGTGTTAACCAATACTGCAAAGCAAAGTGATCAACGTATATTTGCATTTGATTCATCAGAAAACGAGACGTGCGAAGCTTCGATGTCGAAGGAGAACCTTGTGCACCTTGATTGTCGTAAAAGAAGCTCATATGATCTCTAGCTGACATACGAAGAAGGTAGATTAATATTCCGTACAGCACAGCATTGGTATCAAAATATAAGGAATCATCCGAGATTCTAGCAACCATGACCCATTGAATGTTGGTTTTGATTTCCGTGTCAAAAGGATTATGATAGGCTTGATAAATACAGCTTGATGGTGGAATTCTTTGCAATTCACCGAATTTCTTTTTAAGTCTTTGGCCAAGAAACATATCGATAATGTCCCTTTGCACGGAAAGGACGTTATTGTTGATCACATGTTCGCCTCTATTGCTTCTCTTCGACTTTTTCTTGTCACGCTGCATAAAGTCGGCTTCTTCTTTAACTTTCTGAAGGATTTCCGTGACCAAACAGAGGATCGACTTACGAGCCTTTTTTCCACGTTGTTGTATTATCATGTCTAATTGCTGTTGATCGAATCCACAGGCAGCCTGATGTTGCAAAAGAAACATGACTAATTGATTCACAGTCATTGTGTGAGCGAATGGCCAATCAATATCAATGTCTTTGAAGATTTGGATACACTGTGAAATATTTTGATTTAGCAAAGCTATCACTGCATCATTTCCGCGGTCGATCGAATCTACGATCGGAATATTATCAATGTTGGCAAGATACACACGTTCTCGAAACGAATCAATCATCGATAATAAATCTTAAAAACTCTTTGTTTCAGCTCTCAGTTGTTGTCGAGTATTGCTAATTACTTGAATGGTGGGATGATCAGATTCCCAATCTCGGATTAAAAAAGCGACATCGATCACACTAACAACTATAGATGTAACCACTGCAGCGGTGGCCAACGTTTTTACCAACCCGCTCGCTGCTTGACCACCCGTTTTTAATGCTTGACCTCCAGCTGTCATTGCTGAACTGCCAATGGTACCCAGTCTTGTCGCTCTGTAAAAATGAAAATCATTCTGATTCCTCATTCATCGATTCATTTAATGTTAGCAGTTGATTTTTCTCAATGCTCTACTCATCCTCATCTTCATTCTTACTAGGTATCCATTCTAACCTGTTGAAAAAGATCTGGTGCTATCGTTCGTAGTCAGAAATTGCACCAAATGGTCAATCAGGCAAGACCCGTTAATCATGCTTCCACACAAACTTACTCTTCTGCCAGCATGGGAGCACCTTTCAATATCATTTGATTAATTCCAAGAAGTGTTTTCGAAGCGATAGCGACAGCTTTGGAAGTTGCTCCCAACGATTTAAGAAGCTCGAATTCGGTCTGAATAAGGCGACCCATTACGATGAAGTTTTCATAATCAGAAACGTTCCCAGCGCTTGTGCTCAGATTCAAACGGCCATTTGCTAATGCTAAAGGCAAAAACTGAATGAAAATTAGATCTCATTTGCTTATAAATTGTTTCATACCAGTAAAAGTAGTATAGAATGCAGTGTGTTCGTTAAGATCACTTAAAACTAGATGTTCAATCACTCTGCTGAAACGTACAGATTGTTCTTTTAATTTCGACGTTATCTCCGTACGACTATTAATCAATGATTGGATTTCACCGATAATCTTCTTAGTTTGACTTCGATCAACTGCACCGGTAACGATGTTCGTTGCAGCACCACCGACTGAGCAAACAGCAGCACTGGCGGTTAGTAGAAGAGATGCTCCGCCACTGAATGGTGCGGCTACTAGAGATCCAATCAACAAGCCTGTTCCAACTAAACCAGCGGCTGTTCCTCCTGTTTTCACAGAATTACAAACGGTACGGTGATGTTCCGTTTCAGTAATGAGTTCACTCGGTGTCTCAATGACATGTTGGTTTTCCTTGCTGCATGCTCTCAACCATTGTTCGTAATCACTGACCGACATACTGAAAATATCAGCAATGGCAGAATTCCTACATTTCAGACATTCTGCAGAATTCTATAGAATTCTATCTTTTCGCTGTGAATTCCACAACAACTCATTCACCGCTGAAACATGAGAAGTCCGAGTTATTCTCAAAACAGAAATCTAGGAAATGTATAGAATTCTAAGTTAGCACTGTACGTAGTATTCTAGGTAAGCATAGATATATAATATATTGACCAATTTTCAGTCAAGCGGAAATGTATAGAATTCTCTAGAATTCTAGGTTATCACCGTACGTAGAATTCCAGGTAACCATAGACATATAATATACTGACCAACTTTGAGTCAAGCGGAAATGTATACAATTCTACACAACTCTATCAGTGACTGGGACTCGAGGCGGGGGAGGTCTGCCGTGCACGAAAGTGAGTCACTAATCAACTATATTCGTACTAACGTAGAATTCTCCACATTTCCGCTTGACTCAAACTTGGTCAACATATTATATATCTATGCTTACCTAGAATTCTATAAAATTCTATAGAATTCCACGTACAGTAGTAACCAAGAATTCTATAGAATTCTATACATTTCCGCTTGACTCAAACTTGGTCAATATATTATATATCTGTGCTTACCTATAATCCTATAGAATTCTATACATTTCCGCTTGACCCAAACTTGGTCAACATATTATATATCTGTGCTTACCTAGAATTCTATAGAATCCTACACAATTCTACGTACAGCGCTAACCTAGAATTCTACGGAATTCTATACATTTCCGCTTGATTCAAACTTGGTCAATATATTATATATCTATGCTTACCTAGAATTTTATAGAATCCCATAGAATTCTACGCACAGTGCCAACCTACAATTCTATGGAATTCCATACATTTCCGCATAATTCAAACTTGGTCAATATAATATATATCTATCCTTACCTAGAATTCTGTAGAATTCTAAGTACAGTACTAACCTAGAATTCTATAGAATTCTATACATTTCCGCTTGACCCAAACTTGGTCAATATATTATATATCTGTGCTTACCTAGAATTCTATAGAATCCTACACAATTCTACGTACAGCGCTAACCTAGAATTCTATGGAATTCCATACATTTACGCTTGATTCAAACTTGGTCAATATATTATATATCTGTGCTTACCTAGAATTCTATAGAATCCTACACAATTCTACGTACAGCGCTAACCTAGAATTCTATGGAATTCCATACATTTCCGCTTGATTCAAACTTGGTCAATATATCGTATATCTATGCTTACCTAGAATTCTATAGAATTCTATACATTTCCGCTTGACCCAAACTTGGTCAATATATTACATATCTATCCTTACCTAGAATTCTGTAGAATTCTACGTAAGGTAGTGACCTAGAATTCTGTAGAATTCTAAGTACAGTACTAACCTAGAATTCTATGGAATTCCATACATTTCCGCTTGATTCAAACTTGGTCAATATATTATATATCTATGCTTACCTACAATTCTATAGAATCCTATAGAATTCTACGAACAGTGCTAACCTAGAATTCTATGGAATTCCTTACATTTCCGCTTGACTCAAACTTGGTCAATATATTATATATCTATGCTTACCTAGAATTCAACAGACTTCCATGTACAGTGCGAATCTGGAATTCTGTAGAATTCTACACATTTCCGCTTGACTCAAACTTGGTCAATATATTATGTATTTATGCTTACCTAGGATTCTATGGAATTCTATACATTTCCGCTTGACTCAAACTTGGTCAATATATTATATATGTATGCTTACCTAGAATTTTATAGAATTCTGTACATTTCCGTTTGACTCAAACTTCGTCAATATATTATATATCTATGCTTACCTAGAATTCTATAGAATTCTATACATTTCCGCTTGACTCAAACTTGGTCAGTATATTATATATCTATTGGTCAATATATTGAATATCTATGCTAACCTAGAATTCTATAGAATTCTGTACATTTCCGCTTGACTCAAACTTGGTCAATATATTATATAGCTATGCTTACCTAGAATTCTGTAGAATTCTACGTACAGTAGTAACCTAGAATTCTATGGAATTCCATACATTTCCGCATGATTCAAACTTGGTCAATATATTATAGATCTATGCTTACCTAGAATTCTATAGAATTCTATACATTTCCGCTCGACTCAAACTTGGTCAATATATTATATAGCCATGCTTACCTAGAATTCTGTAGAATTCTACGTACAGTACTAATCTAGAATTCTATAGAAATCTATAGATTTCCGATTGACCCAAACTTGGTCAATATATTGAATATCTATGCTAACGTAGAATTCTATAGAACACTGTACATTTCCGGTTGAGTCAAACTTGGGCAATGTATTATATATCTATGCTTACCTAGAATTCTATAGAATCCTACAGAATTCTACGTACAGTGCTAACCTAGAATTCTATGGAATTCCATACATTTCCGCTTGATTCAGACTTGGTCAGTATATTATATATGTATGCTTACCTAGAATTCTATCGAATTCTGTACATTTCCGCTTGACTCAAACTTGGTCAATATATTATATATCTATGCTTACCTAGAATTCGATGGAATTCTAAACATTTCCGCTTGACTCGAACTTGGTCAATATATTATATATCTATGCTTACCTAGAATTCTGTTCTACGTACAGTAGTAACCTAGAATTCTATAGAATTCTGCGTACAGTACTAATCTAGAATTCTATAGAATTCTATACATTTCCGCTTGACTCAGACTTGGTCAGTATATTATATATTTGTAGAATTCATGCTGCGTACGGATTATGATTTGGTTTATAGGTTTCAGTGATTGCTTTTATTAGCTGAACACTATGCTATAGGTGATAAATGTTTGATTGATTTTAACCATCCGGTCATATACGACAATGAAGAGAATAAGTGGAGAAGAAAGAGGTTGGAATCTGTTTATACATTGGCTAACA